CTCCAGACAAGTATAAACAACTTCAGTAACTTAACACCTTCTCTAGTATTTCAATAATTTTCAAAAAATCTCTTCTTCCCATACCTCATTTCTTATGAATAACTAAATTGTAAAAACTCATCATTCAGTCCTATTCAGCAAAAGCCCATTAAGAGCTACCAGAAATAATAACACACATATTTTAACCCTAATCAAATTAATCCATTTTATATTCCAACTTATCATTTTCTCTAAAAAGTAAAGCACACGCTCACTCACACTTCACACGCTCATAAATATTCACCCCCTATTTCAAACACTGTTTTCACTGCTACGGGGTTGTGACACCTCCCTGTTCAAATTAACTTAAAAAATTCACCCTTTTCAGAAGGAACACTTGCCCTTGTTTCATGTTTTCCCTTCATCTGCAGTAATTGAACAGACAGACAAAAAGACAAACATGGTCTGAAAAACAGGTCACACCGGTCAAAAAACAATTTTGGTTCAGAAAAGAAAGCCCATCCAATACCACATAAGAGATTTATTTCTGAAGAGAAAATGAATTTTAACTTAAGCATTGTTGGTTCTTTTTAGCAGTTTAACTTTACTATGATTTGTTTGCTTTTTTTTTTTTTTTTTAAAGTTTATTCCACAAATGGCAATTCCATCTTATCTTACCTGTGGGTGTGCTACTACGAAATGAGGAGGACGGGGTGATGGGCGGTGTGACAGGTGGAGTAAGGCTTCCACTGCTGTGACGTGGAGGAGTAGATACATTCCCACGGGACACTGAGCTTGATAAGGTCAAGGAGAGTTTAGGCTGGATTTTTTTCTTGAGAGATTCCTGTTCCCGTCGAGCGGCATCAGTCATAAACCTATAAAAGCAATGATACCAATATTATGGGGAAAAAAATACTGTGAATTGGTAACTGTGAACAAACATTCAGTGCAAGAACATGGTAGTAATCCTTATGCTATGCATTTCTGAACTCCCCTTGTTGCTGGTAAACCAAATATTGTCAAATGATGCATAGAAAGGCATAATACTGTGCCAAAATCTGTCTTCTAAAATTTTATTTCCTTGCAAAAGACACTTCCCTTTTAGTACCCCATTGTTGGATAATTTCTTTAGAGTGCCTTTAAGTGGTGATTTTGGGCTGAGCATATTGTTGTACGCTGGTAATGTGTGCAGCTGTCGTTCCCCTTTTTCAAAATTTTGAATCAATCTAGAAGTCTCCTTGGCTGCATATGCTTCCTAATCAGAAAAAATATCCATGAATATTAACTTATGCTGGCTTTCCTTGAAATTGAATTGAAGTGTGGGAAGCCAGGAGGCTGTAGACTGTTGAAGAAAGATAGGGCATATACCACACATAGATAGGCACATCATACTCAATTGCACCACTGCACTTTTTCCCACAACCAACGTATTTCTCCTATTGACTTCTACAGGAGAAGGTGAATCCAGACAGTCACAGTAATAGGCATTTTAGCCTGTACTGCTGGTGTATACTATGTTTTGTGACTTGCTCAAACTTCAAATGGTCTTTTAAGAATTTGCTAGTAAATAAATGTTGCCTTCACTTATTAGTTCACAGGAAAATTTCAAACTATCTTTGGCAATATAGGACTGGAAAAAGACTTACTTTAATGGGTGAAACAGTGACAAAAGTATTATGACCCTTGGGCTTCCTTCCCTCACAGCCAAAGAGAGATCTCAAAGCTTGAAAGGGCTCCTGGTCAGCATTTAGAAATGAGAACTTGATGGGGATTAGGAGATCCCTGGAGCTAAAGGATGCAATGGCTCCTTGGCTGTTGCCATTCCTTACCCAGTTCATTAGGTCAGGACCCTCCAGGGCTATCTGCGGGGGGGGGGGGGGTGGGG